GGAATGAATTGTCTCAGTTCTAGAGGCTGGAAGCAGGGTGAGTTCCTTCCGAGGCCTGAGGGGGACCCTCTGCCGGCCTCTCTCCTGGCTCCTGGCGGCCTTGGGTCCCCTGTACATCAGCATCTGGATGCATCTCCCTTATCTCTGCCTCCATCTTCACATAGCATCCTGTTGAATCAGGCAGGGCCCACCTTAATGACCACATCTCAGCTTGATCATCTACTGAGACCTATTTCCAAATAAGACCACAGTCACTGGTACTGGGGGTTAGAATTTTAGCGTCCTTTGGCGCGGGGGGGGGACACAATTCAACCCATAACGTACCATGATTGCAGCCGTATACGGTGTGTACACATGTGGTCAAAGGTTTACCAAGAATATGCAAAAGTGAAAATAGTGTAGTTAGGCGGGTAGGAATAGAGATGGGTTTTCTTCTAACCCTGTACTCATACAAACAGCTTATTTCTGCACCTTCTGTGTTTTGTTTTGAGTTTAGTGTTCTTTTGTTGAGAAGCAACAAAAACTGACTCTGCCTAGTTGGAGCAAAAGAGAACGTCTTGGGAGGGTGTCAGGTGTTCCCAGAATTGATGGGGTGTCTGGGAACCTGTCTAGGAAGTGGACAGGAGCCTGTCTAGGAAGTGGATGGCAGTCGGGGTTGCTCCTGGGAGTCGGGGAGCCACATGCAAGGAGCCGAGGAAGGCACAGTCTGTCCGTCTTTGCCTCTGAAGTCGCTCAAGAGGCAAAGTCCCAGGATGGGGTTCAACTCCCCAGCTCAGGTGACGTGTCCACCACCTTGGGGCACTGGGACAGAGTGGAGGATGGGGTCCTCCAGGGATGGACCCCTTGTCTTCGGTACAAGGAGGCAGGTGTGTGGATTCCCTGACCACGATGGAGGGGCGGTCGTTCCCCCAAAGGAAATCCAAGTGGTGTTGGAAGTAGAAATAGATTCTGGACAGATGCCCCATTTGTTCATTCATTCATTCAGTGTCTGTTGAGGACCTGCCGTGTGCCAGGTGACAGCCATGAGCACAGCAAAGCCCTTTACTTCACACACATTCTAGTGCGGGGATGATAAATTAACAAGGAACTGTAACATGGCAGGTGGCACACCGTAAAGAAAGATAAAGCAGGTAGAGGGTATTCGTTGTTTTATTTATTATTTATTTATTTATTTATTTATTTTTGGCTGTGTCGGGTCTTCGTTTCTGTGCGAGGGCTTTCTCTAGTTGCGGCGAGTGGGGGCCACTCTTCATCGCGGTGCGCGGGCCTCTCACTGTCGCGGCCTCTCCTGTTGTGCAGCACAGGCTCCAGATGCGCAGGCTCAGGAGTTGTGGCTCCCGGGCCTAGTTGCTCCGCGGCATGTGGGATCCTCCCAGACCAGGGCTCGAACCCGTGTCCCCTGCATTGGCAGGCAGATTCTCAACCACTGCGCCACCAGGGAAGCCCGAGGGTGTTCATTTGTAAAAGAACATCGTTTTAACAATGGCGCACCTATTCCACGTATAATTAAAACCCTCTCACTCCTTCCGTGGAGGGAAACAACCCAGAGGCTCACCAGTCACTGCAAACGTCTCCCAAGTCCAGGGCCTCTGAGTACCTCCATCTGTGCTCCAACCCCACTGCAAAGCCTCGTCAGTGTTTATGCCCAGAAGTAAGTCCAAGCAACACACCCTTCCATAGTAGAAAGAGGTGGAGGAAAGGAAATAGAAAATACATGAATGTTGTGTGTACATACACACGTGATGCCACGGAAGGACGCTTCTCTTCTCTGCCTCTGGTTGTGAGGCACACGTGCTCCTTCTGACTCTGCCCTACTTCATCCCATCGTTTGCTCCGGAGCCTCTGCCCCGAGCCCTGCCTGTGCTGGCCTTTGCCAGCTGAGGTGCTCCAAGCCTTCACTCCAAGCTCTCAGCTGGTACTGGCTCTACTTGTTTAGAGTCACCATGGTCTCCTGCATTCCCCTCTCTTAGTCAAAAATCAGTCAGTCTACAAAAAAAAAAAAAAAAAAAAAAAAGTGTTGAGAACATCAGCTCTAAGCCAGGCACCACTTTCATCATTTGGAGAAAAGCAGAGAATAAAGCATCCCAAAGCGTTTCCATTCCAGCATTTAAACAGATTCAGTAAGTGGGTAAGTAGGATTAACTCAGGCACTGATGATCGTTCTGGAGAAGGTGAAGCTGGACAAGGCGGAGGGCGACCTCGTGCCCCTAAGGAGGTGACATTGGAGCCGAGACCTGGAAGATCTGAGAGAGGAGAGGTCCCAGCAGAAGGAACACCAGATGCCCAAAGCAGGCAGGAACTTGGTGTGCCTGAGGTTCAGCGAGAAGGCCCGGGTGCCTGGAGCTCGGGAATCAAAGATGGGAGTGGACGCTGCAGCCTGGAGGTTAGAGAGAAGCTGGATAGAAGGGGCGTCGCAGGTCTCGAGAAGGGGTCGGGGTTATTCCGAGTGAAACGGGAAGCCGTTGCCAGCTGGGCTTC